TAGGTTACTAGGACGCCTGCTGTAGCACACTTCAACAGGAAATTTCAAGCTGACAAGTGTGATATAACTGTAATGAATTATTTGATACAAAAATAATGTGAAGGATATGACCCGACTCTCAATTGGCTAGTTTTTTCAAAAGAAATTAATGGCTGAAATTGATGGTAAGATATAATTTGGACAATTTACGCAATTTATAACTGACAATAGATAAATTATATATATTTGTATCAGTCGCCTGCCAGGACACATATAAACAGACAGTTTGCCGTGTTTACAGACTGTTAAGAACAGAACTCAATGCCATCATAAATTATGAAATAAATCATAAATTATATCTTCATCACACATATATCATCATCCTCTCACGGATCTATTGCATTGGATCTATTGGCCCAGTCGTCTAAGACGCCGCTCTTCGCTGTGCAGAATTACGTCCCTTGGGCACGCCGAAACCTATGTTTGTGGGTTCGAATCCCGGTTCGCCTCGATTATGTTTCTAGGTTTGTCAGCACCTTTCCCGTGCTCGTGGGTTTCACCGAAGTGGTAAACGTCTAAGACCTGTATCACTTCGGGCTTTCCTCCCACATTAAGCTGACACGCCGCGATATGACTGGAATACTGTTAAAAGCGGCGTTAAACCCAACTCACTCGCTCACTCTATTGTATTATGCCCCGTGGGGAAACAAACTACATGGAAACAAGGTATTCTGGAACAAATGTTAATGAAAGGAGCTACAGTCAGAAGCAGGTTCAAACGGCAACACAATTGTTAGATTCTATGTGACTGTATCTCTGTAACAAGCGGGAGCTGGGGCCGTAACGAAATACTGACGTGTCATCATCCATACTTTCAACACTGTATGCACTATCTTTTGTTTACTATGAAGAACAGGCCTATTCATTAATATCAAATTGGATTACAAAGTTTCACTTCAAAATCTATACTGGTCTAAAAGTAACTAGCATAATAAGTAATATTCAGTGATTCACTTATAGGCCCTATCGGTCAATGATTGTCCTGTGAGGCAACCAAATGATGGATGACGCCTTGGTTGAAGGCGTACCATTATACCACTTGTAATGTTTAATTAGTGTCACAATAAAACAATTTTGACTTTCCCAACATGTAACACAATCTCACATAATATTTGTGTCTCCAAGTCATATCTTCAGCATTACCTCTAATTAAATTTCAAACGAATAAATCTAGGAAAAAGCATTAGCATAAATTGTCCCAAGTTACATTTCCACATTTACGAATGTATGGAAAGGCATATGTTCTCGTTCAATGGAACATCATCAGTGATTCTAGTAATAAAGTAGGCGAACAATCGTTACAGGAAGGTCCCCAGATCGGTAAGCTGATAAGGTCTGTTCCATTTCCACAAACGCTAATGAGGAATGTGCAATGAATGTTAAGCATCCGTGTTCATCAACATATCACACGTCAAAAGTGGCTTCGAGCGTCTTACTACAAGTATGATATGTTTAGAGAAATCGCCTATATCAACATACAATATTCCGAGATATTTTCTCCATGTCCTTCGGGGGACATGGGTGGCCCAGTCGTGAAAGGTTCAGCAATTCGCTGTGCAGAGTAACATCCCTTAGGCTTCTCAGATTCCTGTGATGTGGATTCGAATACCTGATTTACCCTGATTATGTTGTTTGTCGGTGCCATACCCGTGCTCGTAGTTTCACCAAAGTAGTAAACATCTAAGACAGGCATCACTTGTGGCTCTCCTCCAACATTACACTGACACTCACTATGTTATCTCAACTACTGGTCTGTGCTCTTCAAATATGGGGGCAGTTGGGTAGCCTAGTGGTTAAAGCGTTCGCTCGTAACGCTGAAGGCCCAGGTTCGATTTCCCGCATGGGTACAATGTGTGAAGCCCATTTCTGGTATCCCCCGCCGTGCTATTGCTGGAATATTGCTAAAAGCGGCGTAAATCCAAACTCACTCACTCACTCTTTAAAAAAGTCTTGGGCTTCAGAGCTCTGATCATTTCAGAAGCGATCAGTGGCAGGTGTTATAGAGAAGTATTTCATCTCTGTTTACGTATGGATAAAAAATCGGATACATTTTATAACAAAATATGTTTTCGCGGATGTTACTTATGGAGGTTGTAGACAGTAACAACCTAGTAACCTCCATGTTGGAGATAACGGATTATAAATATATCGATGACATATGGCTTTTCGTTTCAAAATAATATGTTTGTATCATTGCGTTACCTAAGTTGGAACATCAACATTTTCAGGTCACATCAACATGTTATTCATTTGCACACAAAAAATACGTAAAATAATGCAGTTCCGTACAAACGTTGAAACAAACCGAAAGTAGGTCCGACATTAAGTGTATTGTTTCAATAGAATGTAAATAATATAATACAAAAAAAAGAAGAATACCCTCCCCTGATATATTATAACAGTGAGCAACTTACCTCTGTGAGAAATTGCCGTACTACCTCTTTTGAGGAAAAGATAGTCATATGTAAATGAAGACTCACCAAGTGAGTATGGTTTTACGTCGCTTTTAGCAATATTCCAGCAATATCACGGCGGGGGACACCAGAAATGGGATTCACACATTGTACCATGTCGGGAATAGAACCCGGGTCTTCGGTGTGAGGAGCGAACGCTTTAACCACTAGGCTACCCCACCGCCCCGACTCACCAAGAAACACTCCAGAGGTCAATACAAACCAGTACTTCAAATTCTAAATAATATTCAGTGACCTGCTTTAGAGTAACCTTGATGACATGTATTGTATTGTGGTGCGATCATCGCAGTGCTTTATTAAAAACTTCCTTCAATCATTGACAGATTGTATTAGGGCGTGAATTTAGGAAGTTCGTGTGTAGACTGCTTGAGAATAAAGTGTCCCTGTGATTGATAGTATGTGTCAGACACAGAATCTGATGTCGTGTTCTTGGTGATGTTTATCTGCCAACCGGAGGTCAACATTTACCTCAGCTCAGTTGTTATCTTCACCTTGCGTGAGACACGCATCCTTCATAAACATAAAGGCCTCTCAGACATACCAGTGTCACGATTCATGCTCGACGCGAGGACAGTAACCATTCCCAATGACTATTGTCCTATTAACTATTTTCACATTACTGTCGCCAACCAGGCAAGTATTGATCATGTACGTCGTAATAAGTATTGGTCTCAGGTGGTATGAGGTGATTGTCTTGGGCAGTTGAGACTAAATTAAGCACACACCAGAGACACTGAGCTACAGTAGATTGAGACTTGAAGCTTATCTACAGCAAATTACGTGAGTGTGGATACTGCAGGGGTAACGAATTGTCTTTGAGGCTGACAAGCAGTCTCTTCATCATAATGTAAGCAAGATAAGTGATATAAATAGGGACAATAATGGGGTTCTACGGAGACGTGTCCTCAGCTCGGCGTTGTTCATGTTGTAGTTGTCATCAACAATGTATTTAGGCGCCCGTGTTGGCATTGGAAGCGTCCCCGTCATTAAAATACTGATATCAAGCTGTTGCATAATTGATAATATTCGAGTAATTATTTGTAATTCATTATCAATCAGTTCGCAGCTGAGCTCCCATAATCTCATCATTGTTAAGACAGTGATAATGACGTCATCAAATAGAACAGACAATGTTCAACATGAAACGTCTCCAAAAATATGCTGGGATGACGTTCCACCATTTCTTTAGCCAGTCGAAAAACTTTATTTGTTCTTTTATACTCCTTGATTTTAGTGTCAATCGGTAACCTAGCAATGATTATCGAGCCGACAAAGGTCAATAAAACCGTACCCAATAATAGCACAATGAACTAAAGATAGGCGTCATTTACTTAGACGGAATTAAGATATTGACATCCACCAGGTAAACCAATTTGTTCTAAGGTTCCTACTCCCGGTCGTCCGAGAACACCAAACCATTCGTCAAATAAGTGTTTGTCTACAACAGATTACCAAGGTCTTCTCTGTCCTCTTACGCGAAAGTGTCCGTGAGCAGCATGTATACTTGATTGAGATTTGGTTCCGGAGGCAGTGGATCACCATACCACGATGTTAAGTCATGTGTCTAAGTAATGTCTGGGCTCTAGCTCTGTTCGGTCTATAGAAACAGGAGGAGGGGATATATTCTGACCAAATGTATTTGAGTATATAATACTCTTGGAAATCCATTACTCCCTTTGGATGGTTCAGCCACCTGCTACCGGCTTGGGCTTTGGAATTAACTGTATAATAGCTGACTAAAAAATTGACGGGTTGAAGTCCCAGTCGTACAATTGGCTGCTTATAACAGATATTTCTTATGATTATGGGATTATTTTTGTCGCTTATTCATTTTCGCACAACAATTCTATTTAACGCCAATCATAAAAGTTTTATTTGAGAAGTACATCCTGGATGATTGCCATTTCAGGAAAATATGTCTTTCAGTGTACAAGTACGATAGGCATGTCTAATGATCATGTTGAAGTCACACGCGCATTGCTTTTTTGTGAGTTGTGTGGGTGGCAGTGGTTTGGTTTGTTTGTTGTTAAACGCCGCACTCAGCAATATTCCAGCTTTATAACGGCGGTCTGTAAATCGAGTCAATCCAGTTTTTGATATCATGAGCATCAATCCACGCATTTGGGATCGATGACATGCACCAACCAAGTAGGTGAGCCTGACCACCCGATCCCGTTAGTCGCCTTTTACGACAAGATTAATGCCATCTGACAGAGACTCGCGTTGTAATATCTACGTTCTGACATACGTGGTTGGATTATACTGGAAATGCATGACTTTGCACCATACCCGTTTTTCGTGGGTTTCATCGAAGTGGTAAACGTCTGAGACATGCATCACTTCGGGCTTTCCTCCCACATTAAGCTGACACGCCGTGATATAACTGGAATACTGTTAAAAGCGGCGTTAAACCCAACTCACTCATAGTACAATCCTGCAGGTATTATTTTCTTCGTACCATGTAATTATTATGTCGTATCATTACAGTTGCTGTTTGCTGCATCCCATTGACGGTGGCGGACATTGTTTACCAAGTATGGATATTTGGCGAGACGCTGTGCAAACTGACTGGCTACTTACAAGGTAACACCGGATAAGATTAGATCCAAGACATCGATTGCTTTCATTTTGGTTTGTCTCTGTTCCTCTTCTTATGACAAAGAATCCAACACGTCTACTGGAACTATCGAGATAAATAACATAAATAGTTTACGGACGTAACACTGGAGTTGGTTAAAGCGTTTGTAGCGGCCATAAAATTTCCGAGTCCCGTGATGGGATTCGAACCACGGACCTTCTGATCCGAGGTCGGACGCCTTGTCCACATGACCAAAGAGGTTAACCCCGTCAGCAAGATGACAAGGTAAGGATGTCATCTGTGGGATGACTCCACGCCCTGCTACATACTCCCCCGTCAACAGAAGGCACGTCCCGGGCCGCATAGTAGGGTACTGAGGCTTATTTTGCTCAAATTTAATATGAACGTGCTCAGCCCCACGTTGGGCGCCAATGTAGCGGCCATAAAATTTCGGAGTCCCGTGATGGGATTCGAACCACGGACCTTCTGATCAGAGGTCGGACGCCTTGTCCACATGACCAAAGAGGTTAACCCCGTCAGCAAGCTGACAAGGTAAGCATGTCATCTGTGGGATAACTCCACGCCCTGCTACACGTTCATCGTATCGCAGAATTCAATTCCCCACATGGATAGTAGACAATGTTGTCCCTCCACAGTGATATTGACGAAATATCACTGAACGCGACGTAAAGCCGAAATCACTCACTCACTTACTACACTAACCTTCAGCTTAAAATCTCTTTTGGGAATTATAAAATCACATTTGTTTGAAAGGAAGGTTTTCGTTGTTGATGCAGAATAGAAGAATCCGTTTGTACCTACTACCCTGTTGAAGTCCGTTTTTTGTCGTAAAGAATTAAAGTCAATAATGTGTTGATGCCATAAGATGGGTGAGTGAGTGAATATGGGTTTAGGAATATTCACACAGTATCACGGCGGGGAGCACCAGAAATGGTCTTCTAACTTTCTTTCTACGTGGGGAATGCAACCCAGGCCTTCAGCGTGACGAGCGAACGTGTTAAGCAATAGGCTACCCAACCGCCCCTCTTAAAATCATGAATGACTTACAAACCGATAGTTGTACAAGACACATGTGTCGTAAGAGATATCTATTATTACTATGGGTCTGAATATGTCACTTAAACGTTGGACCCGTAACGATCCGGGTTAGAATAGGCCTTCAACAACCCATGCTTGCCGTAAAAGGCGTCGTAAGAGGCGATTAACGGGATCGGGTGATCAGGCTCGCTGACTTGGTTGATGCATGCCATTGTATCCCAATTACGTAGATTGATGCTCATGATATGAATCACTGGATTATCTGATCCAGATTCGATTATTTACAGAACGCCGTCATAAAGTTGGAATATTGCTGAGTGCGGCGTTAAACAATAAACAAACAACAAACCTTAAATGTTGAATTACCTTGCAGGAATATACATCGGTGCAAGCGTGTTGACCATCGTGTGCATGGGGATCGACCGGTACTTTGCCATTAGACATCCTATGATACACAGACGCATCTTTACTGTTGGGAAGGTCAAAATCCTCGTCGGACTGACGTGGCTGCTTGCCGCGGGCGTGATGGTCCCGTTAGCCATTGTACGTCAACTACGCGTCCATACCATTGAAGCATTCAGTCTAAAATATTGCACGGAACAATGGCCCAGACAACAAGATCGACAGATATACGACATCTTCTTATTATTTTTCATCTACATTATCCCTGGGAGCATGATAGTGCTGTTGTATGCTCTGATGGGATGCAAACTGTGGCGGCGGGACGCAAGTCTTCGACGTCAGAATTCTTGTATGAACAACGAGGCCAAGGTCATGTTGAGTCGACGTCGCCTGGCGCTCATGATGATCATCATTTCCGTGTTGTTTGCAGTGTGTTGGTTGCCGTACTACATCTTCAGTATCTGCATGGACTTTGACCAGTCTATGCAGTATAATCTGATAACACTATACCCTTTTACCCTCTTGTTGGGTCATACGAACAGTGCACAAAACCCTATTTTGTACTGCTTTATGCATAAGGGATTTAAGACTTGTATTCTGAGGATTATCAAGTGCCAATGCAGCAGGATACGATACGAAAAACAGGTACGTTGTCCAAATAGAAATCTGAATTTTTATGACATTTTGATATGTTGAAATAGATGAAGGATATGCAAATGTAGGTCTGCGCGCGATTGTGAGTAAATCCATTACATGAAATAAAAGTCGTATGTTGAAAGATTATCAATTTATAATTTTTTAGGTATGTTCCATCTCATATGTTCCATCTCAATGGATTGTCTGATCCAGACTTGATTATTTACAAACCGCCGTCGTATAGCGTTAGGATTTCGTCTAATTCGCGGTGCAGAATCCCGGTTCAATTTACAAAATACATTTGTCATAGAATGGTTAACTTTCATTGAGAAAAGACCCGTGAAGATTCCGGGGTAGAATATGTCTTCAGCAACCCATGCTTGCCGTAAAAGGTGACTATGCCTGTCGTAAAAGGCGACTAACGGGATCGGGTGGTCAGGCTCGCTGACTTGGTTAATGCATGTCATCGATCCCAATTGCGTGGATCGATCGATGATATTAATCACTGGATTGTCTGGTCCAGACTCGATTATTTACAGACCGCCGTCATATGGCTGGGATATTGCCGAGTGCGGCGTTAAACAACAAACCAAACCAACCAATCATTGAGAAATTACCTAAAACGTGAAAAACTGTTTCCATTTTGCGTAGTTATACTGTATTTACATTGGTTGTACGGCTCCGCGTAATATCATATAGGCCCTATGAAGAGTAAGCTATATGGTCACTTCGACGTATAAAGTAACATTGTCATTCACCTCACCGTCGTAGTTGTAGTAGCATGTATGTATGATTATGCAAAACAATATGTAAAGCGCACCGAAAGGCTTGCATAAGCCACGTTGTTCTGATTTAAGAATAAGCGCGTTTGTTGACAAACAAGAGAAATGTCCAGTCACGTGATAAGCACATTAGCCAATGGCATTGGTGTTATGCTAAGGCATCTCTGCCCCGTGTGGATGGGATTGTCTAGTAATAACCATCTTCTCTAACTACAATGAAAAGGACTTCGTAAAACTGAATATGGTAATATATGTGTATAAAGATGGGGAATCACATCGTTCTAACATACAAGCTATATATGATATTTGTTGCCATCATACTTTGTCTACACGTAGATGGCTTATCACGATCGCGTATCATTCTATCGAAATTTATCTACAGAGCAACCATACAGAATCCGACATGTTTATCTTCCATCCTCTTCAGTTATGTAAATGTAAGGCGCATTTCCTCTCAATAAAATACTATCAAGTTGCCCAAAGCGTCACAGTCATGCGATGAAAAGCTCGACTTGCTTTGCACGTACATATTTCGTCAATAATGGAGTCGTTTGTATGCTAACAACGCTGTCAATTTCAGCTGTTGAGTCGTATGTCAGGAGGCAGTTATCTGTATATGAGTTGTCTGAATACACCAGACATCTGTGGGTCTCGCTACAAGAACAGATACGGCCTTTTGGAATAAGATGGTGGTATTGTGCGGTCACAAGTTAACATTCGGTGCAAGATGAGTGTAAACAATCCGGGAAGTAATATGAGTTTAATAGTCGTATTCGTTGTGTTGAAGACAAATCCCCCAATAACACATATTGCAATACGTATATAATATCACCTTAACTAAGGAGCACAAGAAACTGTACATCTCATTTGATTTTATCATGTTTGATTTTCAATTTAAAATATCTTAAGTTATATCCCAAAAACTGAACTTAACTGGCGCTTAGTCAGCATTTAGTTTTTTTAGAATATAATTTGATCTAATACTTCTAAAGCTAAAAACAATTCGCATGATACACAACTACAAACCGGTTTCTTAGACATCTCATCTTTAAATGTCAACTTAGCTTTTTTCTGCACAAATTTACATTTCAAACATGTGGTTGCAAATTCATTTCTTACCTTACTTCAGTCTTCACTGAACCAATTTATTTTTTACTCAAAATTACCCAGCCACAGATAACTTATTACAAACTGTTGCAGGAATGAGTGTTGATTAGATGGACATAATCAAATTTAACAACAGTTCTTTCAATATTCAAATACATAAAAAACAAACTCGGAATACATTTTGTGTCCTTGAGTGTACAATACTTCCGAATGTATTACAGAGCTGTGGTGCTACGGGTAGGACAGGACATGCTTATCATTTTTGCGAACGCCTTGTGTCATCACTGATTTACAGTGCTCCATTCATATTATTTTCTCTGCCAGTTTGCCTTTTACGCCCATTGGAATCTGTTTCGGTGGATGATAGAGACCGGTTATTCTCCGGCGTTGACGTTTAACATATTCTTTACATCCTACATCCTACATCCTGCATCTTACATCCTAAACCTACATCCATGCATCATAGGGGCGGTCGGATAGCCCATTTCTGGTGCCCCCCGCCGTGATATTGCTGGAATATTGCCAAAAGCGGCGTAAAACCATACTCACTCACTCACTCCATGCATCATATATGTGGCTGCTCGATGGCTGTCTTTGGTATTGATTATGCTTCAAAACGACAAACGTTCCCCACCCCCAACAAAACCCCACCCCACCCAAAACACACACCCAACACCCTGCTGGAACCACGTATGCTCAGTACAATTGTACAATTGTACATCTAGGACTTCGCGAGTGTAATATGATAAGGATAACTAAAGCTCTAATGTTCGTTTTAATGCTCACATCGAGGGACATAAATTGTTCGCCATGGACCGGCATATGATCTCCATCAGCAAACTGGGCTCTTGTATTGCCACACAAGTAGCAATATGATCTTGGACGCGATGTGTAGGCGAAGTGTACCGTTTTAAATTGATATGGAAAGCATGATAGAGCTATTTTATTCCATATGGAGGTATTAATATGTTTGCACTGACATCGCCTGAAAGACACATAGGACCATACAGAACCTTTACCCTTTGAAACTTCTGTCTCACGCCAATGGCAATATATAACTCAACTAAGGGCTTTAAGATGCCATACATTACAACCCTTCCTTTCGCGAATGCCAAAAGTCGGGACCGAGATGAACATACTGTGTTCTGTACTAAAATCGCCGTTGACATATATTCCGTTGCTAATTCAATCAAATCGAAGCTGCAATGCAGTGCTTAATGCAGAAGGATATTTCAAGCCATACTTGTCCATTTCAGATAAGCATCTCACGTGGGTTCAGTGCTAGTGACAGAAATCGCGATAGAAATTCAGCGTTATCCCCGATGCTGAGAAGGGAGATGCTGCGATCGTCTAATCAAGGTGTGGTCTAAGAAGGAAGATGGACAGTAATCGGATAACGCTGACCATCACTTGTCGGACCTGGGATCAAGGTCGGGACGTAGACATGCAGGTCTCATACAATGTGGGCTTGCTCTAGGGCTGTTTAAGCTCAACATTGACTGAATGTGTTTGCTTTGGAGATTCGGTCACGTCGTGAGATATTAAATGTGCAATGTTTTTTCGACCAGGCTTGAGATAATTATTCTTGTTGGCGTATATGGCAAGGGTCTTACAGAAAATTACTTTTTAGATAGTTCTTCTTCTTTACTACATTTATGATTAGACAGCTCATCACAAGTTCTAAACGAATCTTGAAATGAAATGATCGTCAACTTGACCCTTTTGTAACATGGCTGAAATAACATGTTTTGTATCATTTGTCTGTTTAGTTGTGGCGTATTGTTAACCGAAACGATCTTCATAAGAAATTAACTGTACCGGCATACAACAAAAAGAGTTTGGAAATAGATATTGTATCTCTTTCAGCAAATGTAATTTCTTTTCAGAATTATCGGTGTGCGTTATGGAAGTGGGTGCGTGGCGCAGGTGTTTAGATGTGTTTCTCAATAGCGTTTTGCTTTCAGTTAACTACCATCCTTGTCAACTTAACAACTTACGGTTGTGTTGTAACGCCAATCTTACTGGCCGTAGGATTATATGTAACAATTCTTCCCATTTTCCGCATATCATGCGCTAAATGGTCTCTAAGACACAGCTATCTGAACTCCATAATATATTTTGTTTAATTATTCTCTATCGAATTTAGTGCATTTCAGCAGCGCTTTTCAGTAACTGTTTTACGTTAAACTTTTTTTTGGTAAACACTATAAATGATAAAGACACAAAATGCATGATATCCCATCTCTCATATATGCAAATATTGTATGCTGAATATCACATTCTTTGCTCCCGGTCCATGTACATTAACATTTAAATGTGCTTAGTTTCATGTATGTATACCTTAATGTAATGTGTGTACGTCTGTGTGTAGGAATGGGTGGATGGATGTCCCATAGAGGGCCAGAAACCTATGTGATTGTTGACTGGAATCCCAGATTCGTTCTGATGTTTCTTGGTTTGTCAGCACCATATCTATGCTCATAGGTTTCCCCAAAGAAGTAATCACTTCGGGCTCTCTTCTCGACTAAGCCGACTCGCCGTGATACAACTGAAACACCGCTCAAAGCTGCGTTAAAGCAAACACACTCACACTTATGAGATTGAGTGAGTAAACATATCTGTGTTCGAATTCTTCAGTCTGATCAAATCATGAACAAGGCAATTTTACTTTCGGACTAACTGGTGGCTCAGTTGCATCTAGTTGACGGGGGTTCGATCGTCAGATACGTACCGATTATCATCCTTGGTTTACCAGCACGAGGCTCGTGGGTTTCACCTCACGTTCAACGTGTCAAGCGTGTCTCACTTGGACTTCATTCAACAGAGGCTGACATGGCCAAAGATGACAGATTTATTGTTTAAAGCGACGCTAAATACCCAATTCATTGATTACCATCTACGTGTTATTACCGAAAGCGACGCAATATGTTCCCAGTGTCGAATTCGATCAACCCCAAAACATGGGTTACCTAGCTGATGGTTTAAGACTCCGCACCTGGATGTGCGCAGTTATGACCCTTTTGTGTCAAGATCTGCTGATAATGTAACGTGGTATAACAGCATACATAGTTTCAGAACAGGTTCATTTCAACCAACAGAACTGCATACATTTGAACAAAACTTAAATCGTCTTTTTAACCCAAAAAACATTTTATGACTTCATTGTTTTTTTCACACGTCGGTACTATGTAAGACGGTATCAAAACACCGTTAGAGCCTTATCAAGGATATTCAAGTCAAAATAGTTGTTTAGGTTATTTTTCATAGATACGGAAATGGATTCATTCAGTGAATGGATACATCAAAGATAAGATACAACATTGTCAATTCGCGGGCATTATATCGTCTGCATTGTCCCTTTACCCTTTGCATGTTCATCATACTCAATGGGAGAAATCGCTCTGACAGGCATTGGAGTTACACAATCAGATATGCAGACGCGAAGAACGTCACAGTCACACAGTGATCAGAGGAGAGAGGGCTGCTGGGCACTAAAGAAAGTATACATCCATGTTTGATGATTGCTGAAAATGAAACTAACAAGATATGTCTATTCGATGGAGATGTATTTGATAAAGGTATCCTGGTTGTGTTTTGGACCTTAGGCTTGCATTGTCTCGGCGATTGTACTGACGTTTGGATAACGTTTGTAAGTTTTTGCCGAAATCCAATTATTAAATGTTTCCTTTCTTTCGCTCCGCAGCTTATATCAGTGACTGAGTTGGGTTTAACTCTACTTTGAACAATATTACTGTCACATGGTAGATTAATATGGAAGGAAAGCACACAGTATTGCACGTCATGGACCTTTACAGCCTTGGTAAAAACCATGCATGGACACAGGTGTGGTTATTCTTTAACAGGAACGATTTACCGTGGCGAAACCATATTTATGCCATAGCCATATAAAAGGTATGTAAACTATTTCTCTGTTGACATGGGATACAATGACACTGTGTAAGCCATACTCTTTAACAGGAACGATTTACCGTGGTGAAACCATATTTATGCCATAGCCATATAAAAGGTATGTAAACTATTTCTCTGTTGACATGGGATACAATGACACTGTGTAAGCTATACTCTATAACAGGAACGATTTACCGTGGTGAAACCATATTTATGCCATAGCCATATAAAAGGTATGTAAACTATTTCTCTGTTGACATGGGATACAATGACACTTTGTAAGCCATACTCGGTTAATTATTCAGGCAGATAATTTCTCACTTCAAAGTACAATGTACACTTGGCGTGTCTGGGAGTGAGTGAGCATAGCGTAGAATTGCTTTTGGAATCAGAGGGGATACCAAGAATAGGCTCCACATACATTTTATTTAAATGGTAGATCTAACCCGAATCACCCCGCCCACACATGTAGTTTCATTTAAAGCATGTGTGTTATTACGTTGCCTTGTGCGTCCATTAAGTTCAACAATATATTAATAGAGCATTTCTAAATGTACCATTATAATATATCATTACCGTAATATTTATTTCTCGCATTTATTCTACCTCATTTTCACTTACGTGTACACGAAAATATCTCAAAGAACAAGTTTCTGGTCACATGTGCTGTTACAAGGTCGAAACTCTACTACCTCGTACAATTGTGAACCAGGAGAGTGTTACTGTTATCGTGTCATTTGTATTGAATACATTTGCTTCAGATACACTCCTGAACGAGCTTCTCTCAGAAGGAAGAATGTGTGTTTCAATGTGGAGCTCTTCCCAGCCTACGTGCGTGAAGTAACAGACACAAGACTGCTATTCTAATTATATGTCATGGTCCTTAACTTATATCGATTTAAATGAAACTATAAGGTTTTTTATACACGTGTTATATGTTGTAATCGTTTCTTGACATTTCAGGAATACTGTTTTGGGTGTTGTAACCGCGTGTGTCAGCTTTTGGTGTTATTAGTTAAATTGATGAAATGGATTTTCACTGTGGTGTTTCCTAAATACAGAATTTGTTTTGTTTTTTTCACGCTTGTGCAATATCAGACTTGTTTACCTTTAGCCATTTTCCATATGTCATTGTTGTGAAAACACGAATTAAACGTGAATACGGTATACTATACCTAAAAGTGCTAATAATTCCTATTGTGTCATGTACATGTATGCTTTTTGTATGTTTTATATGCATGTACCTGTATGATTTTTTAAACGACAAGACAAAAATGTTTTTTGCTGGCGAATTTTGTGTTAAATATTCAATGATGTGTAAGTATTGATTCAGTAATATTTGTGTTGTTGGCCAAGGGTCTATATCCTTGTTGTGGATATACGTAACGAAACGAATGAAATATTACACTATTAAAGAAATATTACGTTGATTGTGTGTTCACTTGTTGTCTCACACAGATGAGTTGTTTAAGTATATCTGTGATATTTGGTTGAATGAATCGGCCAAAGTGATCACGAATACTGTTTGTAATTATGCCCTATACCAGACATAACATACATACCGCCAACCAATTTGTAAGACGCAATTTGCAGATGTTTAACCTTGGCTTTCGTTAAATTATTCTATTACATGTATTTTTGGAAAAACAGAGGGGGCTATTCACAGTAAGAAACCAGACAGCGCTACGACACGAAAAGTGAAAAAGTCGGATTACTATTCGTAATGATCTGGAATGTCCTATCATTGTCTGAACGCAGTCGTATACGTTCGTAACAGAGTCCTACGGATCGGGAAAGGCCCAGCAAGGTCGGCCAAGCACTCCCGACAGTATGGTGCGTCACGTAACATTTGGGAAACTCAGCCGATTTTGTCTAGTCGGATTATTATCGTGACTATTTCGTGACAGATTCTCCTGTATCGGATCACAATCGTCACAATGTCCTGTGTTGTCTGGACGGTGTCCTGTGTATCGGGACGCTGTCGTGATGAACGAGCATGAATTGTTCATTGCCGCTTCTTGTCGATTGAGTCCAGATTGCGTCCAGATCTTGCCGAATGCGAACCGTCTTTGTCGGTTCACTGTCCTGTCACTGTCTGATCTCTGTCGGATCGCATTCGAGAGAATCGGGACTCTGTCGGGACAGATTCGGTCGTTTTTTACCATGCGGAAAATACAAATCAGATTCGGATTGAGAACGGGAGAAACGGGACGAATTCGGCTGGAAACGGCTGAAACGGGACGCTTCCTGAACAATATCTGTTTGTGAATTTCCTTCCTCGAATCACAGGCTCTTGATCAGACTTTTTACAAATTTTAATCGGGGATGGTCCTATCAAGGACGGCAAAAAAATCCCGAATGTGTTACTGAGCTATAACCTGTTCCTGACACCTGCATATCTGCCTGCGCGTAGTGTGTTACTCACATCTTTCATGGTTGGGATGAAGCATCTGAGAGGAGAAAACAGGCAAACAACACAAGAATTTCGACCGATATTCACCGTATTTTCCTGTATCTGCAGTTTCCGGGTCCGTTGCCTAGCAACACCTAATTCCATGGATACACACTGGCATGGGAACATCGATGCAGTCTCGGCTGATCACACTAAAACCTCGGACATCAAAGGTTCTCAACTGACTTAGCGGTAGAATGGGCATAAACGTAGTATGACTTATCCCATTTGGTTTCAAATGAAATGTAACGCCATCAGATATAATCAAAACATATATGGATTCCCAATGCTAAATGATTTGTGTGGTTTGAATATTTATGTGTTAATTACATTCACAGTCATCCCTGTCAGGTGCAAAACATCCATGTAAGACAATATAAATAGGACAACAATAGTTTTATCAATAGGATACGAGTACCAGCAATGTGCGAAATAGCTTGTCATATAGCACGTGGCAATATTCGTTTACACCACACGTCATGTCAAAACTGGCATAGGTCGTCTGTTATCTGTCACGTTTATACGTTAAAGCTGTTTGAATGTATTCCATATTTTGCGTTAATTTTAATTACTGATGAACGTTAGAGTAAGATAATTTTAAGCTGACTGAAGAATCTGATCATGTCACACGTGTTGGTGAGAGCATTACGTGATCAAGAGGACAACGTTATGACACTTATAATAGGATTTTAATTTCTTTATGGTTAATGTGAACGTTGACAGATCTGTGATAAGTATTATTGCGGAAGCCACAACCTACCTCAAACGCTGGTAAGGTTTCTTTGTTGTGACAGATCTGTTAAATATTTGATTGTTATTCACAAGTACATGCTCGTGATAAAGTCGGAAATGTACAATCGACTCTGCTAAAGCAGAGATTTTTATTGGATATGGAAAGGGTTTTGTCGCTTTATTTACATGCAGGGGACATTTTCGTTTGAGAATTAAATATATAGTGAACACAAGGAGCTTTAACCCTCTGTCCATCAACTGTAAGAATAGATTCCTAGTAACCCATAGTATGAAATGGTTCGATCTACTGATGTCTACAATGACAAATGCCTACATGGAATAATAGCTGCAGAGTATGCTGTTTGGTGCAGTAACCGTGTTACGACATATCATCTTCCAGAGGCAAGAGAGTTTACTTACTATAACAGATCGCTTTCCACCCTTGCCGAACTTGGCTTGAATTATGGAGTTGTATTTTGGCTGGACTAACGAGTCTATGCATAGTCAAATCAAAATCACGTAGCGAACTCGACATCCGGTTCGTAAACTGCCGTGCTGATAATGGTCGACTGCAGGATTTGGAAAGCATGTGTACCGACAACTTAGCGTCAAGAGATATTTTCCAAATCTGTTCATGTTTTTAGTCAAGGTGCTCACGTGATTTGATGCACTTTATTACAATATAGATCTTGAATATCGTTTGCACTGGGGGACGCCATTTTATTTGAAGCAAATGCATGTGATATGAGAGGAAGAATCTGATTGGTCAATAGAAGGGACATAGAAGGGACATAACTAGTAATAGCCACTGGTGGCTCTACGATCGAGCCAAGAAATTCCAGCCTAGTTCGGCAAATGGAAACTAGACTTTTATAGTCAGTTAACTCCTTTGCCTCGGTTAGATGCTTACACGTGGGCTGCCTACGCTGGAGTTCACTTGCCCGAGACAACTCCGATTATCTATGACAAGGAAATTGCCCAAGTGGACACCATGAGGCTGCCGCCGTCACTTTCGACCATTCCAGGAAGAGTGGATTGCACTCTCATCTCAACAATGTGGTGCAGTGGCCACATCCTAACATATTTGCTCTTGTCAAGTTGCTGCAGTGGCCGGAGAAGACCGAGTAAAACAAGTTAGCCCAGATGACCCATGGTGCCCGCCCACCTCACCGCAAGAGTGAGTGAATGAGTATGGTTTTACGCCGCTTTTAGCTATATTCCAGCAATATCACGGCGGGGGACACCAGAAATGGGCTTCACACATTGTACCCATGTCGGGAATCGAACCCGGGTCTTCGGCGTGACGAGCGAACGCTTTAACCACTAGGCTACCCGACCGCCCTCTCACCGCAAGAGGACTTATAGTAAGATTAACCAGGGTATATCAAAACATAACTATGAAAAAACATACCTAACTGTTACAGTGTAATATTATTAACATAGGCATTTGTCCACGAGAAGAGGCAGGGCTCTACCATCTTATTTCAAGGTTTAAAGAAGTAATTAAGAAATCCACTGGTGCTTTGTTTGTTTAACACTGTAGGCCTTAGTAGAGTCCGCCGAAAACGGACCGGGCTGTCTGCCTCGCTGACTATTATGATGGAGTAGGACGATGCTCTTGATATCAATCACTGGTGAAGCGTTTTTCATTTACAGCAAACAAACAAACAAACTGTTGCCTTCATGGGTTAAACGTATGCCGTCATCCTCTTTTTCCTTGACTTTGGTCGCGGAATACCTGTAATGTGACATTAATCTTCAACCCTGATGGGTGGGATATACATCTGAATTTGATGCATCCTTTTCCTTTGACTGTGGTCCTACTCTGTATCGAGTTCTATTAACATGAGGCACTTGTTTATACCTTTCTTGTATGTTAACAAAATCTGTTAATCTGTATACTGACGTCCAAAAGAAACTTTACCAGAGTTTGAAATCACTCTTGCTTAAAAACAACATAACATACATGCATGAAGTAAAGTGTATTGAGAAGAACAATGTATCAACATAATCGACACTGAAAATGACAATCATACCGCGACCGAGAATGACGTCAGAGCCCCCCCAAAGTTGGGCGTGGTACAAAACTCGAGCTTTCAGAATCATGGACAATAGGCAGAGTACATAAACAATTGCTCACGTTCAATAACAAGTCATTAGTAGCGTGTGTGACCACCAAATGCCTCAATACACGCAAAAACTCTTCGGCGCACAGAAAAAGTCAGTCGTCTGATGAGGTCACGTGGGATTTGACGCCATTCTTCTTGGAGGGCCAAGATCAGTTCTTGCCGGTTGGCTGGAGAGTGTGGTCGTTGTCGAACACGACGATCCATCAAGTCCCAGAGGTGTTCTATGGGGGACATGTCGGGTGAGCGTGCAGGCCACGGCAGGGCGTTGACGTTGTTGGCTGCGAGGAAGTTAGTGACAATTCTGGCTGTATTGGCTCTAGCGTTGTCATGCTGATAAATGACACCACGTGGCTGCTGTTGGAGAAATGGTAGGACAACTGGACGAAGAATGTTATCCATGTAACGCTGAGCTGTCAAGTGTCCGTCAACGATGGCCAGCGGTGTCCTCTCCTGCCCACAGATCCCTCCCCACACCATGACACTCCCTCCATCATATGGTACGACCTTTTGCACGCAACACGCCGCCGTTCGTTCACCCCTTCGGCGGTAAACACGCTGTCTTCCATCAGCCCTAAACATACAGAATCGACTTTCGTAAGTGAAGACAACCCTCTGCCAGTCACGTCGTTGCCAACGTCGTACAGTCCGGGCCCATCTCAATCGCAGACGACGATGTTGCGCTGTCAATAGCTGTCCTCTGTATGGTCTAAAAGGCCTGATTCCATGAGCCCTTAGTCTCCTGGCCACTGTCTGTCGACTAACCCTGTGACCTAAGGCATTTGTCGCCAATGACGTCGTTGTCAGGAAGCGATTTCGGAGGTGCAAGGTACGCAAGTACCGGTCATCATGGGGCGTGGTCACCCTGGGTCTGCCTGTTCTTGGCCTGTCAGCGGTCCGCCCTGTCTGTCTGTAACGTTGCATCAAGTTGGTAACGGCAACACGGGAGCAACCGAAGGTTGGTGCAATATGGGCGTGGGTGGTCTCATCTGTACCATACCCAAGGCTCGTTCACGTTGTTCGACTGTGAGTCGTGGCATTTCTTTTGTGTTTGTTTATTACTGTGGATGTCTGACTTGCCGTTGCAATCGTTTTATACCTTTACCCGC